ATAATTTTTTTCATTTGAAATTCTACAGAGGTGGCTTCCCCCTTCCACTCGTTCTATAGTCGGTTAAATTTCAGTTGAACAAATAAAAAACAAAGAGCATTCATGCCGTAGAAAATAAAATTCGCCCTCCCTCTCTTGGGGTGCAGTACTACGATGCCGCTGGGGTGATTCCAACCCCCAGAAGTGAGCCCCTACGTTAGTCAATCCTCTTTTCATATTCCTAAATAAAATAAATCCTAAATAAAATAAATCTTCCCTCTTTGTAATCCACAATCTCCAAGAAGTTCTCCATCGACTCGACACTGATCATCTCCGAGGAATGAAAATCCCCAGGTCTCGATACCCCAAGAAAATTTAAACGTTCCTCCATTTTTTCATTACATATTTATGCCCAGACAATATCGAAGAAAATTTTTCCGTCGAAATTCTGAGAACATCGCGTGACTTCTCCCTTTATTTATTTATTTATCTCATCCTTGAGATTAAAGAAACTATATAAAAATAAAATTCACTTATTTTATTGCAAAAATCCCACGTCAACCCATCGCGTGACAGAACTCAAGACAAAAGTCGTGAATATATTAATGCGCGATTTATTCTCGTCGAAAAAATACCAGAAAAATACACGAGCGATATTATAAATATTTAATCCACAAAAATGACTTTATCCATTTCTCCGATGAATAATAAATACACTGAAGTCTTCCTCGGCAGAGGGTAGAGCCTCTAGTCTCCAGTTGGATTATCACCACCGACCTTGAAGGTCGCATTTGAGTCATGATCCTCTCCCTCAACTTCTTCGTCCTCCAGATAATGGGTTTCTGGAGGCCCTCCGAGGGTTCCCCTCTCAAAATCATTTTCTACAAGTTCTACACGTGCCTGATGTGTTTAATCCTGTATTCGGTGACACTCACTCAATTAATCGAGATGATCAGGTCACCAGGTACGGTAGACGATGTCATCAACAACTCCCGGGTGCTCCTGACGATGATGAATGCCTGCGCCAAGTCCCTCTCCTTCGTTGCGAGACGGGACGACATCCTGAAGGCGATAGGCATCATCACGTCTCCTCCGTGTTGTCCACGTAATTCAGCAGAAGCTGTCATTCAAGAGAGATACGACCGGAGCATCAGGTTTATTTCACACAGCAGCAATAATTATCAATTTTTCATTCACCCATTTAATTCCAAGCGACAGGAGTGATGTTAGGATCAAGACAGAAGCTATTGGCAACAGAATCGTTTCAATCGTTTCAATTGTTTCAATTATTTCAATTATTCCAATTATTTCAATCGTTTCAATTATTTAAATTGTTTTTATTGGTCTCCTTTTGGAGATTGAAGTGGAATTTAATTTCAGAATGAATTCACTCATTTATGGAGCATTCATCCAGACCTCTGTCAACACTGTCATTCTCCAGACAGCTCTGGAATGCATTCCCATTCGTATCCTGCCATTCAAGTGCTGGTTACCTTATGACATTAATTCAGAGACAACGTTCTGGCTCACCTACATACAACAGAGTGTTGCAACGTACGTCACATCCTACGTCAACATTTGTTACGATACAATTGTACCAGGATGTATGGTCCAAACGTGCGCGCAGCTAGACATCTTCAAGAGTCGACTCAAAGATTTATCTGGACATAATCATCGCTCTCACGGTAAAGACGTCGAAACCCATGGTGATAAGAATAAAATACTCGTATCAGACTGCGTGGAGCATCATCTCAACATCCTCAAGTACCCGAAATGGAGACGCAGTTAATGATTTTATTGAGACAGCATTTGCATTTTCAGATTTGCTGAATTATCGAACAATATTTTCGCCCCGACTATTTTCACGCAATTTGCAATTAGCTCGTTAGTAATTTGCGTGAGTGTCTACGATCTGTCGACAGCTGCTCCATTCTCCCCGGATTTCGTGGAAGTCATGCTCTACTTGATGTCGATGATGCTGGAAATATATCTCTTCTGCTTCTATGGAAATAATGTCACTGTCCAAGTAATTCATTATAATTTATCAGAGAATTCAGAGATTGAACGGTAATTAATTGATCTTTAGAGTAATCACGTTGGTGGGAATATTTACGATTTGGATTGGACTTCACTTGATATTTCCGTGCAGAAGAGTCTTCTGATTGTCATGACGAGGGCGATGAAACCCCTCACTTTCACCAGTGGACATGTCGTCGTTCTGTCCCTCGCGTCATTTACGAGTGTAAGACGATTTTATTACCGATTATTACCGATTATTACCGATTATTATTCATCGACAGACGATTCAATATTTCAGTTACTAAAAATGTCGTATTCCGCATACAACGTTCTTCAACAGGCGTCCTAGAGCACCGGAAGAACATGAAGACAAATGTGGAGTATGAATTAATCATCCGGACGAATTCATGATCATTCATGATCACTCAATCATTCAGTAGTATAATTGCGAGTTCTAACGAGTTTTATTACTACAGGCGTTATTTAATAATAATCTATAATAAATAATCGTCTTCGGTGTTTTAAATTAGTCAATTAATCATTTAGTGTAGAGTTTTTCTCTTCATCTCCAGTCCACGCTCGATCTTCTCGATTCCATTCGCCGATTCATCCTTCGCCGGCTTGCAGATGTACCGGAGTTTCTTGATGCATTCTTCCCCGTAGAAGGAGTAATTCTTCAGTGAATTACGAATTTTCAGGCACCTAAGGATGATTTCAATGAGTGGAGAGAATGATTTATGAGGAAATTAATGACGAGGGCATAATTACCGGCCGTAACCGTTGACAGTCTCGACTTGATTCTCGAAAACGGGCTTTGCACTGCTGGCCCAGATCCAGAGTAAACCGGGATTCAGGCCCCCCGTCCAAAAATCAGACCCTCTGACTCCTTTTGTGTTCTGCAGGTAGTGTCTGAGGGACTTGTGCTCATCGGGGGTCTCTAGCTCCACCAGATTACCACCGAGGGATCGACAGAGGCTTGCAGATGACTTCCAGTCGTACTCTCGAGAGCTTACGTGGTAGCAGGCTTTCGAAATCCGAGTGTAATTCGTCGGACATTGTTCTAATCATTAATAATTTTTTTATTAACAATTATTGCAGTCAGTAGAACAAAGAATATTCAACTCTCTTACCCTCGCGACTGCTGTTCCCAGAAATCACGTAGTAAAGTAATTCCTCAGCTCTACGCAATCGTTTCTCGAGGCCCTCGACCTTGTACAGTAATTTCTCAATCGCCCCTGAAAATATTTATAAATATTAATATTTATTGTCGATCGAAACGTGAGTAATTAGCACTCAGTGATTTTCTTTATTATTATTCATAAAATTATTTTGTTTAGGGTAATTCGCTCGATAATATGATAAATGTCCATCGGAAGTCGCAGCCAGGATATGCACGATTGCACCAATGACCTGGTAATTGCTAAGAAATTTTTATGACCTCGGATGAACTCACCTAGTAAATATAAATCCGTTTCGGATACTTCCCGCTTGTTTGGCGTGACAATTTTATGCAACACTGCCATTGATCTATTCACATACTTCATATCACGAGACTCTCGATTATTGCCTCTCTCATCCTGTGACACAACCCAATCCTCAAATCGTTGACTGAATACCCCGACACGAACTCTATTCTCGTAATTACCATCACAATAGACTGCCGGAAGTATCAAGTAAACCGTCAGTAGAAATATTGACCTCATTTCTGCCCAATGAAGATGTGAAATTTTAATTCAATCGAAATTAGTGACTCATCAGCCTGATTATTTATTATTCCCATTTATCAGGTGAGATTTTATTTATCGATTCAATGGCTGTCGCTGAGGTTATTATTACCAATTTATTTTTTTTTATAGCGATTTATTTTGGAATGCTTGAAATCAGCGAATGATGTGGAACTGGCACAACCGGGCGCGTCAAATAGATGAAATGTTACTGGTGTGCCGTGTGTCCCCCGGGTTGTTATTAACCGGGCCCCACTTTCTCTTCACTTTCATCAGTTTTTCTGAGAATCATCGGTTCAAATGGTAATCAGGTGCCCGGGGCAAAGCGGGAAAAACCCTTTCCACCGGGAATACCCTCGGCACATTAATTTTAAAAAATAATATTCAAGTTGACGATTATCGCGACAATTCCTAAATTTTTGTTCATCCTCATCTCTCTGACTAGATCGTACTCCTCGTCCCCTCATTATAATTTAAAATCGGCTTCAAGAATTACTGGGAATGACTAGAAATTCATCGTCAGAAATAATTCCGTCTGTAAAAACCATGAGCATCCAGAGTTTTAACCGAAATGAGGAAAAACCTGGAATTTTAACGAGAGACTGACAGACCCCGTTACATTCTGCATGAAACGAGATGCATGGGATTGAGATTCACAAAATCGGGGGAATCCCGGGGAAAAAGGGTTTAATAAATTTTAAAACAACCTTTACTATTTAAATAATTATCGGGTGATTGGAAAATATTGTGATGATGATAAATGAAGGAGAAATACGGTGTGACGAAAAGAGACGAGAAATTAGCGATTCGAATGGCCGACGCCATTTCGAGGGGCTTCCCCTTCTGCGTCTTGCGGATGCGCAATGGCTGATGCTCTCCATCGCACATTGAAAACTACATAACTGTTTATTGAAGGCTGCCAGAAGTTCCTGTATGCATCAGTGTGTACGAGAATGCATGCACTGTGTATTGTGTAGGCGTTGGCGACTTGACCAAGTGTGGTTACATTGAATTGTCATTTGACGAAGTTGAAGACGAACCATACCTGAAAAAAAACCAATCGTCTGACCGTTCGACCATCAAATATCACCGGAGTGTCTCGATCAATCGATAAATCACTCAAAGTAACAATCGCCGTGAGTTATTCGTGGTACATATGTAGTCTCACCGGCAGTGGACATTTCACAAGTGTTTGTAAAACATTTTCCAACGCATCTCCACGATGAAGCAGTGAAGGATCATTACCCCCGGGAAATCGTGTGAATGCTCCGGATGAGGAAAATGTAAAGTCCATCTGAGATGTTTAATTATTTGGAAAATACACTCTGTGGAGGATCTAGATACAACAAATTGGCAAAAGACGTGTCAGGTAATATTTTAGTCTCAACCACAACTCAACACAACTCAAACAAAACGCCCTCATGCCCCTAGCACTCACGATTTCCACGTACTGATAACGAAAAATCCATAAAACCCATGGATAAGTGAGTAGTCGTGTCTGGTGCTGTGACTCTGACACATAACAATCCATTGATTACAGTGTCTCGATAATGGGGTAGATCATGGGAGGTAAATCGTGGAATTTCATTTATCCTGTTCGTTGGAAAAATGACACATTATTTGACAGTGGTGTTGCATCCACCGATCGTCGTTATGCAGATTGCTCCAGTAATTCTCGAAAACTCAATTAAATCTCGGTACATATGTACTTATTGTACTCAACTCATTCGGATAATTGTCTCTCGTACTCTCGTTGCATATAGAGTGTATGTAGTCAACCCGTTGATGCACAGTTGTCGCGCATGCGCTGATTATACACGGGAAATTATAGAAATCAAATATTTTCTCATAAAAAAGTGGAATTTTTAGTTTCAGCCGTTGATTTAAACCTTGGAACAATTCCCCTTGATTTTTCCATTTTTTCCGCAATCACAGGTGCTTCTAATATTTTTTTTCCCACTCATCTCGATTATTTATGACCCAACGAATCAATAATTCAGAGTTCAATTATCTCACCAAACAAACAACTAAATTTTTATTTCAGATGCGCTCAATTTCCTACAACGGCCGTCAATAATTCAGTAATAGAATTCAATATCAACTGTCAACCCGAGAGGAATTCATAAAGGTTCGATAAACCCCTCATCATTACACACCACTCATTTGAATTTTAACTCGAATTCAATTAGATCAATCAATCATCGAATATTTCAGCTGGACTGTGATACACTGCGTAAAAAGACTCCAGGCATGTCCAACAATCAGCTCGTTGATTCGTGTCTGTAAGTAACAATAATTAACCCTCGTCACTCCTGAAATCTAATTCCTCTCGCAACCAGCCCAATTAATCATTCATTTCTTCATCCTATTGCAACTAACTATGGTGAACCATCTGGTCTATTTTCAAAACCACTACTAAAAAAAATAATAATAACACTAAAAACCTGTCGCTGAACCTAGGCTGGTGAACCGGAGGGTTGAGCAGCGTCAAGAGCACAACGTAACACGAATTGAAATAAAAAAGAGGTGATTACCCCACTCTAGCATTAGTACCTGACAAACGTACGCTGATTTTCCAGCGTATCTGACACACTAACAGCATGCACAAACGTAAACAAAACGTAGTGATCTATATACCCCAGCATGATTAACCCAGAGTAATCACGGATGTAATTGTACATAGATCGATGGGCACAAGTACACCAGAAATATTGCCACCAAACTAAAAATCCTTCTCATTAATTAGTAATAGCACAGTTAATTTCACAATGAGCCGCTAATGACAGTTAAACAATTTATTGTTATCCCTCGTTGAAAAGTGGTCCAACTGAAACGGATTACCACAGCAGCAATGGACAAACGGAAACGCATTCTGTTCACTCGTCGCAATTGTCCGTTCAGGATGATCCATTGCTCGTTCGAGGGCACAATCAACAAACATCCCAGCAAGTACGTTAATGATGATTACCGTTTAATAGGATTATCCACGTGGCAGAGTTGAGGGGAGGGATAATATCAATGGGTTTGACTCAATAATAACGATTTATTCGCAGATAACATCAGTGACCAAAGTAATCCGCGAGGTATCCCACATAGAGCCCGAGGCTGGGGCAGTTAATTACATCCCAATGCCCCTAATGTCTCAGGAGTATCCACATGGGGATCCCTGCTATGCAGCCGATCCCTACATGGTCAATTTTGATCACTACGATCCTTACGTTGGATATGCTACGCAGGCTGAATATCCAGCCCCTCATGCTGCTTATGCCCAGGACTCACACTCACCACACAGTCCACACAGTCCCTCGGATCACAGCCGTACAACACCACCACACGGTAATTATATCTTCTTTAACAATTTATTTATTTATAAATTATTTATTCCATTGAAATTCCATGAGGAACTGTCTATTCCTACAACTCCTACAACCACTCTTTTTGTGGGTGATTGAATATGATGCGAAATAAGTCATATGTAATTTTTTCCCGAAATTAATTATTCTCAAGATATGACGAGATAGGGAATTGTAACAATTACAAAAGAAAAAAATTTATTGTTCCCTGCAGAGTACCTTCGTAAAGGGCCCCAGTACGTCGAGGGTGGGTACAATGACATGGAGTCAGTCCTAAATCCAGCCCTCCAGGATCACTACAGAATAACCCCGAGTCCCGGAGGTCCAGGTGATCAGTACGATGAGAGTAAAGTGGCCTATGGTTATGTATCACCCTCGCCCTACGGTCCAGTGGCCTACGGTCCCACCATTGGTGTACCCCCTGTGGCAATATCCAGCGAGGGCCCGTCCTACGACGAGTCCCACCAGGTGCAGCTACCCGTTAGTCTTGCTCCAGGTATGTTCGAGGATGATCTCCATCTCCAGCGACTCCAGACTCGACACTCAGTGCCAGGAATGGCGAGTCCACTGGGTGATGATCCAAAATCAATGCGCTGGCGTGATCCAAATCTCTCGGAAGTCATTGGCTTTCTCAGCAATCCAAACAACATAATAAAAGCCAATGCTGCAGCTTATCTCCAGCATCTCTGCTACATGGACGATCCGAACAAGCAAAAAACAAGATCCTTGGGTGGTATTCCACCTCTTGTCCAATTACTTGAGAATGAGAGTCCCGATGTGTACAGAAATGCCTGCGGTGCACTGAGAAATTTGTCTTACGGACGTCAGAACGACGAGAACAAGCGAGCCATTAAAAATGCCGGTGGTGTACCAGCATTAATTAGTCTATTGCGACGGACATCAGACGCCGATGTCAAGGAATTGGTCACCGGTGTACTCTGGAATTTATCATCGTGCGAGGATTTGAAAAAAGCTATAATTGACGATGGTGTTACACTTGTTGTTAACAATATAATAATACCGCACAGTGGATGGGATCCAAGTGCTTCCAATGGTGAGACTTGCTGGTCAACAGTATTCAGAAATGCCTCGGGTGTACTTAGAAATGTATCCAGTGCTGGGGAATATGCGAGAAAAAAATTGAGGGAATGCGATGGCCTTGTCGATGCACTCCTCTATGTCGTTAGATCGGCTATTGAAAAATCAAATATTGGGAACAAGATTGTTGAGAATTGTGTCTGCATTCTGAGGAATTTGAGTTATCGGTGTCAGGAGGTTGAGGATCCGAATTACGATAAACATCCGATACAGTCAATTGTTCAGAATCGCATTGCTGCACCTGTCAAGGGAGAGAACTTGGGATGCTTTGGGGGAAGTAAGAGGAGGAAAGATGGCCAGCCAGCGCAGAAGGAAGTGACAACGTCTAAGACTGTTACCACAGCTAGAACAGAACCTGTCAAGGGAATGGAATTATTGTGGCAGCCTGAAGTTGTACAGTGTTACTTGAGTCTCCTTCAAACCTGCTCCAATCCGGAAACACTGGAGGCAGCTGCTGGTGCACTACAGAATCTTGCTGCTTGCTACTGGCAACCAAGCATTGAAATACGCGCTGCTGTTCGCAAGGAAAAGGGTTTACCCATATTAGTCGAATTATTACGCATGGAAGTTGATCGTGTTGTGTGTGCAGTGGCAACGGCACTGAGAAATCTAGCTATCGATCAGCGGAATAAGGAGCTCATTGGAAAGTACGCCATGAGAGATTTAATTCAGAAATTACCATCTGGTAATAATCAACATGATCAGGGCACTAGTGACGACACTATTGCTGCTGTTCTTGCAACTTTGAATGAAGTTATTAAGAAGAATGCTGAATTCTCGAGATCTCTGTTGGATGCTGGTGGGGTCGAGAGGCTCATGAATATTACGAAACAGAGACAGAAGTATACGGCGCGTGTTCTTAAATTTGCCGGTGAGTTGAGCGTCATTTAATGGAAGGTTTATTTTCATTTCTGGCGAAATTCAGTGAATTTGTTTTTTTTATTTTATTATTTAGGACAAGTATTATTCACAATGTGGCAGCATGCGGAGTTGCGTGAAGTGTATAAGAAGCACGGATGGAAAGAGGCTGATTTTGTTACGAAAACGGTTGCAGCTCGCAACAGTTCCGGCCTCAATTCACCAAATAATGCAAACAGGTAAGAAACTGTTTACTCTGTCGTGATTGTATGAGACTGTTGAGAAAAGGAATTGGTTAAAGCCGCGGGCACATGTAAATGCGATGTATTGTTTTTTTTTTCAGTTACGATTTCAGCACATTGAATAGGCCAATGGCGAGCCAAGGCAGCACCCGATATGAAGACCGGACTATGCAAAGATCGAACATGAATTCGAATAATATCGGACGGTCTAACGTATATCAATCCGTAAGTCACGTTTAGAAGAAAGAAAAATCAATTTTTTATTCTCCCATTATCTGCCTTCTGATCTTTATTATTGAATTCAACCGTATTATTTTTATTCTGTTACATCGTCAGCTCAAATTTGTTGGACTTTATTTCACTGGGGGTGGGTTTGCCTCCAGCTTAAATAGCATTTTTCTTATCAGTATAATTCTAAAATGCATGCGACAGTCAATGATATTTGAAGCTAAGTGACGATTACGCTGTGGGAGATGGGCAGTGTTCAATATGAGGTGCATGTGCACCTTTGGCTCGAGGACAACTGCCTGTACCCCACGTATTCTGTGATTTAACCCTTAACTACATCCAGCGAGCTTCTTGCACATTATAGAGCAATAACGCGTTAATGATTATGAATTTTTCACTTTGTTACGGGTGAAACTCGGTGATTAATCGGTTATCCAGTAGTTAAGGGTGAACTCGCCACAGATGTTTTTTATTGTGAAGAAAAACTAGAAAAGAACCTAGTGGAATGTTGAATTACCTCTGAAAATGATTTATTTCGTTTGTTTTATTTGCGTGAAAACATAAAAATTTCTTTAGTCAATTTAATTACGTTGGAATGTGTTTTCAGGGTTAATCAATTTTTCAAGAGAATAAAGTTTAAAAAAACGCTCAGTGGTACTACATATAAAAGACTCCCTGTAATTTAAAGTATAAAAAAACAAAAATCATGCCCATGAAGATTGTTTTCTTCACGTTGCATCGATAAGCTAAGGAAAGTGAAATTAATAATTATGAGAGAAACAAAACGGCATAACTAATTTACACAAGTGAGCATTAAGGAGCTGAAGACGATGAAAGGAATATATCAATCGTTTATTTTTTATCATTTTTATTCATTTTTTATTTACGCAAACTGTTATGTGAGTAGATCTAGTGAGAATATACAACAAAGAGAGAAATCATCTTCCGAATCTTCACGTCAACAGTTCCTAATTAATAGGTACTAATTATAACCCATCTAGAGGTTAGCGTTCGATTAAACAGGGGAATTCATATAGTTGTTTTACATCATTGTGACTTCATAGAAAATTGTTGAATGAAATTTTCAAGGGGAAATGGTATTATTCGCAAGCCAGTGTGGCAACAAATTTTTACTGATTTTAACACGAAAAAGTAATTAATTATTTTACGTTAATGAATGAAAACGTAGGAAAATCATCTTTATAACTCGAACTAAAAATTTCATATGCAGCTCCACGAAAATATACAAATTGCATAATTTTTATTCAAATATTTCTAACTAATGGACTAAAACGAATATTATTTGCGACTGCACCCTGTCATCGAAGAATTTTCCCTCCACAATGTCCTATCACCCCAATCTCAATCCGTGAGAAGGAAAACACCAGGAATGAGGGGGAAAAAATAGTATGGACACGTGTGGAGGGAGCGATGGAGGGGAATTTTTTTTGTCACTACGAAAAGGAAAAAAAAAGGGACAGTTGCATGACTCATAAAAAATATACACGTACATGTATATACCTCTACTATGTATATATAATAATTCGCAGCAATATAAAATCATAAATAAATGAAAAAAATAATAATAATACTACAACTCTTTATATGTCTAACGCGATGTGAAGAGCAAATGGAAAAAATGAAGGAAATGTGTTCTACATGCATTTTATACACATTTGTCATAATGAAAATTAAATGAAAAAGAAAAAAAAATACATATTGTAATAGACACCATTTAGGAGGAAAGATGAAAGACTCGCATGCATAAGAATTCTCATACTTTCTTTTATATTAAGTGTGTACTCCATCGAGAAAGTAGGGGAGTATGAAAAATATAACGAAACAATTAAAGTAATAATAAAAGAATAACACCAGTTGATTTTTCTCTTCATTCATTTATATCCATTTGTTTCGACAAATTAACGTATTTAGTCATTGCTATTTGTGGAGCAGTGGAGCGCGTGTTAATTATCATACGGTGGGCCATGGCTTTTTTTTTTTTACAATGGTGTTCTGGGGCACCTGTTCATGGTGGAAAATGGGGGAGAACTATCCCCTCTTTTTACCGGTCATTTCCTGAACTCATGCCTCTGTTTGTTGTACGGAGGAGACCCTTTCACAGGTGCACAGTGTACACCACCAGTCCAAGAGTGGACATTCCCCGTCTCGAGACAACAATTATTCCCTCAAAATATAACACGTAATTATTAATTAATTCCTCTGTGAATTTCCACTGTGCAATTTCTAGTGAATTTCTTATTACTATTTTATCTACCAGAATTTATCGATTGTTATGTCTTGTGCGAGTCTCTTCCCATTATATTCACACCGGAAATCGTGTCTTTGAGGTACTTTGTGTTAAACCGGTTCCTTTCTCATTCTCTGTCAAAAGTTTTGGAATAACCATGTGAAGGATGTTCTGAAAAAAATTCATGGCTTTGTGGCTGTTACGAGTGTTTAACGTGCAGTTGCGATAATAGTTAATTCATTGTGAATGAAGAGACAAGAATATTCTTCAGATGTGGCAGGAAATGAGTGTCTGGACACGTGAATGCTATCCGCTGCTACGATGCTGAAGATATTGGTGATTATTTCGTTGGTTTATTTGAATTCAGCGCAATGTAAGTCATTTTGATAAATCGGTGGATGTGATTATGATGGGAATTTAATTGGCATTTTTGTTCAAGTGATTAGGGATACAAGATGCTTTCTGGAGAATGGTGCAACATCCTCTCATCTATTTGTCAGCGAGGACAAGAGGGTCGGCGATACCATAGGCATTTTAGGGGTCCTTGGGGATCCCAGCATCGACGGAGACATCGAATTACATCTTCAAGAGCACGATAGTCCAGTTACTATATTACCTCATACGCGAAATTTAACGCTTATTAGACCACTTGATAAGGAGGGAATCGATGGTCCCGCCAGTGTATACATTAACATTATATGCGAGAGACGACACACGCTAGATCCCGTAAGTTCAAACACTGGAAATTTCTGACACAAGTTGCACTTCAATCCACTAATCCACCAAGGAAGTATTAAAAATTTAACAGCCACTTCTCACTGTTGCCCAATCTGACGCTTCCTTATCTCTTTTTACACTCATAATTTGAGTTTGTTAACAGTAGAATAAATTCATAAGTCACAATGCCGGTTACTTTCTACCCGGGGCTCTTCCCCAACTTTCTAAAACCTAGCGATCTGCATCGACATTTTTTGGTGCATCCACTTGTTACCGAAATATCAAACCCCACGTTGTCACATAATTCTTTAATTATTTCCGCATTCTGTATTTATCAATTGGATATTCCAGGGCTTCATGATACCTGTAAATATACGAGTCACCGATGCCAATGATAATGCGCCCCAATTCGTCAATGCACCCTACATACTCAACATATCCGAGGTAATTTATGCGATGGAATTATTTTTAAAATCAGTGGTAAATCGAGGATTTATTTTTTTTTTCTCTCTCACGGGCTCTCTGTGATTTTATTTCAAGTACTGTACTTAGTACTCCAGCATTTAGAGTTTTCGTTGTTGAAAGCCATTAAAGCATGACACTCAGCAAACCGTAACTTGAGTTTAACGTTTGTAGTTGGGGATGTGGCGAATGACGAGTCAACTTGAAATTTCGTTATGTGTTAGTGAACAAGACGAGTGGGTACCAGCTACGCGTAACGCTGTACTCACTCGCCGTTACAATAAACCAGCGGATATTTTCTATGTTTCGTTGGAGATGTGCCATTAGTGGATGAATCTTGGAAAAATTATGCCATTTGTGGTTTTTTTTTTTCTGCGAATCCAGGTCACCGTTGTTGGTACTCGTGTCCTCCAGGGAGTCAGAGCCATCGACGCCGATCAACCGGGACCTTACTCCACCGTTCAATACGCTGTTCTACCTGGCCTACATTCCGTAATTAATCCACTCCATTAACCACCCAACGAGGGGATGTATTTTTTTTTTCACTCATTACTATTTCTCTCGTCGTTTCCTCCAGGATTACTTCGTGTTCATAAATGCCTTGGAGGGAACTCTGGTGCTGCGAAAACCTCTGGATTATGAAACACTGAATAATTTCTCTGTCAATATTCGCGCCCAGGTTTGTATTTTTAACAGCGAGAATTTTTAATCACTTGTCTCATGGATTCACTGGTAATCACTTGCTCTTGGGGCAGAAGAGCAGTTGAGAAATGAATAAAAAATGACATTTGACGGAGGTCTCTGGGGATTTCTAACAATTCAGTAGTCCATTATATCAATTGTAATTTTAGGATCAAGGAAATCCTCCGCAGTCATCCATTACGACACTCTCGGTGAATGTAATCGACGCAGATGATCAAAATCCGGTATTTCTGTACGACCAGTACAGCATCATAATTCCGGAAACAGTTAGAAATGTAAGGACCATTGGGCATCCCTCAGTTCTCTGAGCATTTTCATCACTGACTTGTTCATTACTGGTTCCATTGTTCATCCACAGAGAAAGGTGTTGGTGATTTCACCAGGGGCTATTGAAGCGCGGGACCAAGACGCTGGGATCAATGCACCAATTAAATACACCATTCAGGGTGGAATTCTTCCTTTCTTGAGTCTCAATTCGCAGACCGGTGAAATTTCTCTCGCACGTCCTCTGATGGACCATGAATTATCGACAGCTGTTACTATGGTTATCAAGGTACGTCGTGTCTCTCAATATTTACTCTGAGTTTTCACTCTGTTTATTGTTTAGGCAACGCAAATTGACAATCCGGATCGATACAGTCTCGCAACTGTTATGGTGAGTCGAGAGGATGGACGAGAATCATCGCCAGGAGCAGGTATTTTTTACCCTTTTCCAAAAATCACTTGTCATTAATACAAAATTGTTGAAAGGTGGCAATTTGCCAGTGAAGTTCGTCCTGAAGAACTTCATTGCGAGTGTCTCTGAGAACACTCCACCAGGTAGTATAATCCTCACGACAGGAGTGAACAAAATAGACCCGAAATTGCGATTTCATCTGGACGGCGCACCCGAAGAGCTGGAGAGATTCTCCATCACTCATTCTGGGGATTTACTCCTGAAGGAGCCGTTGGACTACGAGAAGAAAATTCTCCACAGTTTCGTCATTCACGTCTCCGACGGAACAAACGTCCGTGCAAATGCTAAAATAATTCTCATAAATTGAGTCTTCATGTCAGTGATTATTCAAGTGAAATTAATCTTTCAGAATGACACGGCGAGGGTGAATATCTCAGTGCAAGACGTTAACGAGTGGGAGCCACGATTTCGCCATCCGCGATACGAATTTCATGCACGAACTTTGAGGGTTGGTTCGATCGTGGGTCGATTGGAAGCCGCCGATGGGGATCGAGGGGATCGAGTTTCCCTGTCCCTTCGTGGACCGGACGCTAGACTCTTTGAAATTCGAGACAATGGAGAGCTCATCCTCACGTCAACGGGCCCCTTCAACGGATCTCTGGCTAGACTCGTTGCGGTCGCCTCGGACACGGGGAAACCACCGAGAACGAGCATGATACCCCTGATCGTTCACATACCACCGAATGCTAGATCTCCGATTGCAGCTAGAGCTGCTCCTGCCTGGCTCAATGGGAGTATTTTACTTGTTGCTGTTTTTGGAGTCGTCTTAGGACTTCTAGGAGTTGTTATTTTAATTCTTATTCTTTATATCTACAAACAGTACGTAAAACCCAAAATCACACCTAAAAACAATTCAGAATAATTACATAAATTATAATTAACGGATTTTATTTTTCAGAAAGCGACCGAAAAATTCGGGTTCAGTAAATTCCATTGGGACTGGATATCGGGGAAAATCCCCGGTCCCCTCTGCTCTGAGTTCGAGCCCCCAAATCCTGGGGGCAACTGCCCTCCACGAGGAGAACTCAAAAAATTCAACGCGTAGACAACGTGGAACGAAGAATCCGGTCTTCGGGGAGGATAACGAGAACCCATACAACGCAGGAAGTATTCAAGACAATCGACAGATTCCGAGCTACGGCCGCCACAAAGTCGCACCAATGCCAATCACCCCGTCCTTATCCGCGACATCTAACATCCCAAACATTGGCGGGCTCGTCCAAAACATGAATGATCTCAGTGCGAGAATGAATTTGGATACGGTTTCCCAAAATTCTTCGAATTACTCCGGGGATCCACCCGACTCTCTGATCCCCGCCTGGCCCCCGGATGACTCCAGACATGTGAAAAAATTATCTTGGAATGATGACAGCAGAGTAAGAAAGCATTTGCTCCATTCTAATTGTGTTATTACAGAGCTTTAGAGCGAACTAATACGAATTTCAAACGAATATTTCATTGAGAACTGGAATTATTTTTATCCAATTCTCCACAGACTGGTGACAGTGTCGATACAATGGGTCCAGATCAACGAACTGAAAACACTCACCCAGGACCTGACAAACTCAATCTCACTGTCTACTTCTAGCAGTGCAATTCAAATAAATACCAATTATTACTTTCATATTTTATTTATAGAAGTGAAAAGAATAGCCATACATTTTTACGAAATAAGAGAAAATGAAATTGTTCTTTTGAATACAAACAAATGTCTCTAGTTGCTCATTCACCGAATTATGTGCTTCATGAATCGACTTTGGTATGCACTCTCATAATTACCTTGTGTCAAAGACAACTGAAATTGAAGAGTGAGAACATCGGTGAATTTACTCGAGATTTATGACCAGGAGATCAGGAGACTCGCTCTCTCTTCTTGCATTATCGTTATTTCTCCGTGGAGTGCCCTGACTCGAGGCACTCTTACTGGACGTTTTTATTTGTTTCGCTGAAGGGCCCTCATCCTCCTCGTCGTCTGAATCGGATATCAGATCAATGACAGGTGCATTTTTCTTCTCCTCTGGTTTCGTTGATACTGCTGAGGTACTTTCATCCAAATCCACTGTATCAACATCGACATTCGCTCGTGAATTAGATCCTGAATCCGATTTGGCCTTCCCCTTCTCCTTATCTTTGTCCTTTTCTTTTTTCGTCACCAGATTTTCCCAGGAGCCATCCTGGAGGAGCTGTATCTCATTCACATCACTCAATAGCTTCTTCGACATGAGCACCTCCTGGAAATACCCATCAATAACGAGATTATCGTAAAGGGCTGTTTTGTCACAAACTGGACAATTCCACGTGGGTTTTCTCTCATTCATCTGCAGGAATAATGACGCGTCGAAACACTGGAGGTGTGAACAGGTGCTAGCTCGTGAGGGTGTACTCATTCTCATTTTACCGAGTGGACAAGCCAGTGACACTCGTAGTGATGTTGTTGCTATTTCACTGTCTGCGTCCTCGTTGAGTTTCTCCTTGATTAAACCACGTGTGTAATCGGAATGTCTGACATTTCGACTCTTAAGTCTTGTGAGTAATTCAGCGCTTGTTAATTTTTTAACCATGTAAATTGCTACGGCGTAACGTCTGCCATAATCTGCAGACCAAGTCACTTGGATTGTATTGGCTACAGTGGGTGAGAGCTTTACCAGAGGACTTATGTTTACGGGACGGGGTGGCCGTTTTGGCTCGACACCTGGTTTATTCGTGGGTATGGGATTTGGCAGCGGACATTGTTTTCCATTGACTTTAACTTGAACACTCGGTGGAAAATAATCCTCTTGCTCGCAGGAGGTCTCCTGGAGGCAGAATCTCATTTGAACTTGAATGATGTATTCCATTTTGGAGCCAGGTCGGCAGTCTCGATAAGTACCGATGTCAGACGCCTGTTGTGGAGTTAGATGAAACTGGAATGAATTCTCCTGGAGTCTCATGGAGCCCTGGGGCATCAGACTCGAGGGTTTGAGTAACTCTCCCAGTAAATCGTAGAAGGGTAGTTTTTTCAGTCTCACGTCTGGATGCACAGGATACTGACTTGGCTGTTGGATTTGCATTGGAGGGGGCAGGACTTTTCCTGGATAGGGATAGGGGGCATAGACGTTGTTATTCGATCTCTGTGAATCAGAAATAAATTATTTGAACGGTCCTCACGGAATTATCCTGTGAGAGGATTTATTCGATGATCACCTGAGTTGTAACTGTCGAATAACTCGAGGGCTGATAAATCTGAGGTGCCCTGGCAACTTGGGGCTGCGGCATCGACGCCTGATGGGCAGGTGGTAGATCCTTTCCAGGTGCCACTCCAGAACCTCCATGCTGCTGCGTAACTCGACGCAGAACCCTGCTCCAGGATTGATTATTATGGTGTTGCCTTCATAAAGAAATACAGCTCATACATTTTAATGGGAAAATTAATCGTATAATTCACTCTACCTTCCATCATCGTTTCTCTGATGCATATTCTCGTCTACTTGAGAATCGCCTTGTTGGCTGTACATTTGGTGGGCAGCTAACTGATCTGCCCTGAAAATAATAATTATTATTACGATGATAATTGCAGTTTATTTCCTCGACTTCAACACTGGCTTCACTCATCATTTATTTACTCACTGAATTGTTTTATAGAGTTCACGAATTTTTAACTGCACTGGATGCGATCGCAGTCTCAATAATTCCAAAGCACGCAACTGCAATTCGTTCTTACGTCCTGATTTATTTCTACCAGCAAAACCTAAAAGCATCTGAAGCTCAGACACTCGAAAACTTAATACCATATTCTGAAACATAAATTCCATTGCTTTAGGTGGTTTGCATTGTGCTGACGAAGGTTAACGCACGATTACTCCTGTTATCAATAGTTCAGCAGTGTCAATAGTTAATCCATGGAGTTTTATCATGATGATTAGATAGATCATTGCATGAATTTCGTACTTGCCTCCAATTCATCTGCCTCGGAGGACATCCTTGAAGATCCCTTTCTTCGAGACGCCGTTTCCCTCACAATTTTTCCACCCTATTTTTATCGAGTTGAGACACCGTAATATACCAAAAATAATGTTAATTATTTAGAGGAACATACTGTGGATTAGGGCTCGGGGTTAACCGGAGTCCCCCGGTAGATTCCAGTGGCTTCGGTTTTATTTTTTATCGAGAAAACGAGCGAGGACAACAGTTTCTGCATATATACCGATTACTGAATTGATTACGATGGGCACATCAAGGCTTCGTGTCACTCCGTCAATTCCCTCGGAAATCTCGTTGAATTTGTCGAACAGCAGGGGGCAGCACCATAAAAACCGCGCGATAATTCAAACCAATGAAAAAACCCCTCGAACCACATATTCAGGAGCCTATTTAAAAATTAATTATCATCTGATTGCTGTGATAATTGAATAAAAAATCAACAACAATGCGAAGATTTTTCATTTTATTTTACAAAAATTATAAACTAATGGCTGAGTGACGAATCCTGAGGATGACTTAATTATTCCAGAATTTTCACGTCTACACACGCTTCATTGTCGAGGTCCAGAATATCTGGGGTGTCCTCATCCTCCACCTTGTCTCCATCGAAGTAAAATTTAATTTTTTCAATGGGGACTTCGAGCTCCTTGGCGCAGTGCTCTCGCAGTTTCTTGAATGGCTGATCCTTTCTCAATTTATACATGACTGATTTCTTCGATGATACTTGCGCTTTTATTTTGCAGATATCCTCATCATCCTCATCCTCTTGATTCACTGGGTTATTTGACATCTCTGCGCTTATGATACCTCCCTCTTAATTTAAAATATTAATTATCGACTCAGTGATGTAATAAGAAAATTACGAAGTGAGGGATGAAATGATCTTGTGTGATTAATCGAAATAAAATTTCCCTTTCCCGAAATAAAAAACCCTTTACTCTTTTAATACGAGGGATTCCTCTGCATTTAGTAAATCATGGAGATTTTAAATTGGAGGGAAGAATGAAAATACCGTGCGATAATATTATCGTTCGGAAACCGTGAAAAAGTCTGGGGAAAAAATCGTCGAGTAAACGCAATCCCGCAGACGTCTGACGTACATACATTGTATAGACTTCTCGAATTCACTGATTTGACAGGTGATGATTCAAATAACAAATGCACAATGATACGAATGGGCCGCGCGTGATCGACGAATTCTTTTCTGTTAATTTTCGTGATTGCACAGGAATAAATATTGCATTCCCACAAAATTTTTTGTGTAAACAAAAATAGCAAGGGACACAAGAAATATCAGTTATCATTATCGTGAATCTCACCAAGAATATCGATGACTGATAATTTCAAACTGGCTGGCGTATCGGTGGATTTTACCGGAATATCTTGACGTGTAACTAATATTCGATTGACTGGAATGTTTTCCTGATCTGCGAATTTCTGGAAAATCGTCATCAACGATTCGTGCTGGAAAAAAAATTACTGTGACTAAATGATGAGAAATATAAAAGCCCTTGGTGGAGGGGAAATCCATACCTTTTCCATTTGAATGCTTTGTATTTTATTGGACTTCCAACGGATGTGGATGTCCACTGTTGGATCATCGACGAGGGAATCATTCCCTCCCAGGATACTGTTGTTCGGCCTTTGTATTCTTGGGGGACTGTCGAGAATCTCGATGGGAGTTTTTAATATTCTAGGGACTTCAGAAGTAACTGCAGACACTTCGATGACGTCTTCCACGTCAGAGATCGTAGATCGTAGATCCTCAGAGTCTGAGATCAACTCCTGGAGAGGTGTTGAATTTTCATTAAAAATCCATTGGAAGGAATTATTATCTCTATTGTCCTATAAAACGTACGATATCGTCGGTTTTTGGGTCTTGGCTTCTCAATCTAATTGAACAGCTTCTCGTTACACAATTTTCAATTTCAATGTCCTTGACACTAGGAGCTTCCTCAATTGGGCCATTCTTTGGATTTTCACTGGGTGGTTGTGGCTCCGGTGATTCTTTCCTCTGGGACTTTACGGCTGGGGTTATAAAGGATGTTTAAAAAATTAATTGCAACGATCTCTACGGACCTTCACAACTTACCTCTTAATCTAAATGCTACACTGCAATAATCATAGTCGTCGTTTTCTGAGCTACTTGACATATCGAACTGATTTGACTTTAACACTGAACTTGTGAGAGAACAACTAACCTCGAAGTTCTCAGATAATTAACGATAAAACACGATGAAAGTAGAATTAACAATTGAACATCATAAGTCTTGTGATTATAATTTAGTACTGTAATTTATCAATTGTAAATAAGTACTTGTCACTGGAAATCGGCACCGGTGAATATTTATTTATCAGCGAACAGTGGCTTCTATTACGCCATCTGTATGAATAAATAATGAGCGCTGATAGAAAAAGAAATTTGAAAATCTATTGTGAGATTTAAATTGAATGGAAAAATGGATTATTGATGGATGAATTGTTCATTTAGTAATTAATCCTCAGGAGAAAACATACGAAAATTTTCAGTTCTAACGCATAACAACAGGAAAAAAACATATATTGTTAACTGCGAATGGTATTTTGTAATCCTGCGGGAAGTTATGAAGAACAACAAGAAATCGGTTGAATAAATAGATCGCTGATAAATCGAAGTGAATATGAATTTGATAATGATAATGATGATTGTGTTAAAGGTAAACACTGGCCAGGCGTTAAAACACGAAATTGTGGGTCTGTAGAAAATTATTGCACGAATGGGATTTGTATAAAAAGATGACAAGAGAGATTAATGTTCAGTCAGTGAGGATATTCTTCTCGGCGAAGATGCGCTTCCTGCTGATTGTTGTTGTTCTTGCCGCGTGGCAGGGACTGGCATGTGCCAGTCCGCCTCGGACGCGTGATGTTAAAGTAGACTTGTTTATCCAGGATGGAAAGGGAATGGATGAACTGCAAATTGATCTAGGAACAATTGAACAAATTGAAAAACTCAATCAAGATGCTGTTGTGACCATCCAAGAAGGGGAATATGGCTGGTCTATTGTGAACGCAGAAGCGCGCAGCGCGTCCTCAGCTGGCTCGGGTAAGTGAATAGTTTTCGCGATTCAATGTTTAAATTTATGGGGATGACATGGGATGCTGTGTAATGATAGTGAATAATTATTTGAGTTGAAATATGATTAATTGAATGAATTGAATTGAAAATCTTAATTGCATGTTATACAGGTTCCAGTTCCGCCTCCGGATCGGGCTCAGGCTCAGGTCTAGGCATTGGTGCAGGCGCAGGTGATATTGTAGTTTCGAGAGATGGCAATAGCGGAGATTTATTTAAATTGGCTTTGAATTTGTTTACTTTGCAGGCGCAGGTGTTGGCGTTGGATCAGGTATTGGCTGGGGCTCAGGCAGCGGCAGCGGAAGCGGAAGCGGATCAGGTCGAGGCTCTGGTTCCGGATCAGGCAGTGGAGCGGGCGCTGGTGCCGGTAGTGGATCAGGCAGTGGAGCTGGTGCTGGTGCCGGTAGTGGATCAGGTAGCGGCTCAGGAAGTGGCTCAGGAAGTGGAGCTGGTGCCGGTAGTGGATCAGGTCGTGGTTCGGGCAGTGGAGCTGGCGCAGGACGTGGTGCCGGGGCCGGTAGCGGCTC